CTTCTCCCCGCGGTCCCGCGCCGACGCCGTTGCCATGACTCTCGGCGAGGGCGCCCCTGCCCTCGTTGCCACGGCAACGCGGAGGCGCCCACGGCACTACCCAGCGTCTCATTACCCCGCCCCTCGCCCGCCGCGCCCGTGCCGGGGTGCGCTCGGCCGTGATTTATCCCCGCGACGCCTCTTGACAGCCCGGCGTGGTGTCTGGGCCGGGCGCCGGCGATTTCACAGTTTAATTACCGCTAATCTGACGGCGGCCGCTAATGAGCTGCTGGGCGGCAAAGGCGCAGCCCACGCCCCGCGCAGCCCTGCCGGGCCAGGGAGAGGCTGGTCTCAGGGTGGCCGGCCACGGGCCTGCAGAAACGTGGGGCCGCCACGGAGCCATGCGCGGGGGGGGCGGGCGCTCGGGGCTGGGCAGGCCTGGTCCCAGCGGCACCGGCCGGGCAGGGGTGCTGGCCTCGGCCCCAGCGTCTCCCTGGACCTCCTCCAGAGCGGTGCCCTTCCCGTGCTCCCCGGGAGAAAGCAGGTACATGGAAGGGCCAGCTGGGCCCAGGGCCATGTCGGACTCAGGACGTGCTGGGCACCTCAGGGACCGGTGTCCGGTGCCGCTGTGGGGGTCCTGCCCTGCCCCCGCCTCCAGCCAGCCCATGCGCCTCGGACGCAGGTGTGGGGCCCTGGTCTCCGAGCTGGGCCCGAGGCCTCTGCAGGGCCACCGCCCGCGGCGGGGGGCACTGGGGCTGCGGCTCAGAGGCCCAGCGCGGTCCCGGCCTCCTGCCCTTTCCCTGGGGTCAGGAACCACGTGCACGGGCTGGACGCTTGGGCAGACGAGGCCAGGTGCCTGGACCCTCCAGCTGGGCTCTCCTGGCCCTCGCTGGCTTCACCCTCAGCTGCCTGCGTGAGAACTGCCCGCAGGCCAGGTGGTTGGGGACCCGGCCCTCGGCCCATGCTGCTGATGGCGATGACCAGACACTGGTGGTGCAGCCCACCCGGGGCGGCCAGTTCAACAAGCCTGCGCCTGGGGGCCCCTCCTCCTGGCCTCGCCTGGTCCAGAAAGGCGCTGCAGGGGGAGCCTGCCTGGGGCTGGGGTGGGAGGGCCACCTGCCGCTCGACACTGTGCACAGGACGCTGACCACCCACCATGGGGGCTCGGCCGCCCTCGATTTTGCAAAGAGCCATCCCGGGCACCGGGTGGGCCCTTCCCTGGGGGGCCAGCCTGCAGAGGGGGCCTCGGTGCCCGGCGGCACCTTGCTCCCGATGGCCCCTGACCTGGCCCCAGTGGCCCTGGGCTGAGCCCCACCCTGCTTTTGAAAAGCAGTTAGAGAAGAGCAGAGGCCTCGGGGTCCAGCAGCCCCGTCCTCTCCCTGCTGACCTCTAGACGCCAGTGCCACGCCCCGGGGGCCGCGCCCCGGCTCACCCCTAGCTGACGAAAGTCTCAGGCTGGGCCTCCCGGTGAGCAGCGTGCTCGAGCCCGCCAGGGAGGGACCCCAGGGCGCGGCACAGCCCCCCGGACCGCCCGCGGCCCCTCAGCGGTGCGCTTCGGTCAGTCTGCCTGTCCTGTCCGGTGAATCCTCTCTCCCGCCCCCGCACCTCTGACCTGTACCCCAGTTCTGTATGCGCCCCAGTTGTGTGCAAAGAAAAACCTTAAAGATGTATCACGCAGGGCCTGCCGGGGTACAACAGGCCAGGACGCGGCTCTGCAGGCGCCGCAGCCACTTCAGCCCGGGGGCGACCCAGGGCCCGGCAGACCGCCCCATCTCCCCGCTGCCCCCCACTCTGTCTCTGGTGAATCCTTTCGCTGCCCCTGCACCCCAGTTCTGGCCTGTACCCCAGTTCTGTATGCATAAATAAAAATCTTTCAAAAAAACAGTCACAGGTGCTGTGTTAAAAAAAATCATCCAGAAAAGTCTCAGTCACGCCACCACCGTTCAGGCGCGCGGCGTCCCGTCGGCTCGGCCCGCCACCGCCCGGCCTAGAGAACAGGGCGGAGCCCACCGCGAGCCCGCCCC